TTCGAGTACATCCAATTGAAGAAATAAAACGCAGAGGTTCATTCTTGCCTACTAAGTAGATTCAATCATTTTGTTCTAAAACGAACAAACTTCCTTCCCTCTTACATTCACATTCACAGCGATACTACAACCAAACTTTCTTTTTATTTTGTATTTTTATTTTAATGCTATGCTCCTAACTACTGACTACTGACTACTGCCATGCGACTTCTTTCTCAACTTTGGCAGTTAACCGAACTAAACAACTTGCTCATGTTTCATTAAGAGTGAAGGCCAAATTATGGAACATTGCAGAGATTTTATTAGAAAAAAAAGTACTTAGGATCTTAGGATATTTTTAGATTCCAAACTAAGTAACTTTAGAAAAATATTGAGGCTTTTTACTCAATAAATTGATGAAAAACTAGGTTTTTAATTTGACGTTTTTTTAGATTGAAAATTTTTAAAGTTTTATTTTCCTTGAAAAATTTTTCTAATATAATTTTTAATAAATTCTGACAAAGTCTGATATGAAAATTGTCCATATTAGACTTTAATGGCTTAATCCGGCTTGATATGTCCATATATACATCCTGATCAATTTATATGAGACCTAATGTGTCCATATATAATTATTTAATGGCCTTAATATGGTCTCAAATAAAAATTGGCCATATTTGACCAAACATCTGATTCAATATGGTTTAATATGTTCTTATATGACTTGATAAGCTTATATGAGACCTAATATGGTTTAATATGACCATTTATAATTTTTTATAAGACCATAATAGGTCAAATTTGGATATATTTCACTTGATGTGGCTTTATATGTCCATCTATACGTACTAATAAGCCCCATATGTTCAAATGTTCATATATAATTTTTTTTAGGTCTTGATATAAAAATTGGCCATACCTGGCCAAATATCTTATTCAATATGGCTTAAAATGTCCTCATATGAGTTGACAAGCACATATGAAACTTAATATGTCCATATATAATTTTTGAAAAATTCTGATTGATTAAAAATGGACCATACTGGGCTTAATGTGGATATGTATGGACATATCTGACTCAATATGTTTTCATATGACTTAATAACCCCATATAAGACTAATATGGTCTGATATGTCCATATATAATTTTTTGAAGACCCTGATTTGGTCTCATAAAAAAATTGCCGCATTAAGTCAGATATATGACTTGATATGGCTTCAAATGACTTAATATGATAATTTTACATCAAAAAAATTTCTTTATGGATTATTATTAAAAATTTGTAAGGATTTTTATGTAATTATTACTGTATTAATTAATTTAAAAATTTTTGGCAGTAAATTTATTCATCCTTGACAAATCACCGAATCTTATTAAATAAATCGGAGTATCAGTGCAGCGGAATATTATTAGCAGTGAGTAGTCACCAGCAGAGAGTAAATTTGAAAGCAAATAGGTAGTACATGCCGAGGCGAAGCTATCTTTTTAATAGTCCCTCGTTGGTTGTTTCCGATCCTATCCGGCAAAGCGGCAATCGAATCCCTCGGATCGATTACGCTCATTCTGTGGATACTGTATGCGATACTGAACGCGATATAGTATGCTATAGGTTATAGTGATAATGCTGTACCGCGAGCACGCATATTTGTCGACGGCCAAACAGAAAGAGAAATAGAAGTAGAAAGAGATCGAGTTAGAACACGAGAAAGAGAGCGAGGGTGGATGGGTGGCGGTACGCGATTCGGATTTGAATGCTGCTTGCGTGGACGCGATTGCCGGGCGGATGAATTTAAAGAGAATAAAGCCTAGTGCCTAGTCGGGCTTAATGCGTCCGTGGATGCGAGCTGAAGAACCCTCGGGCTGTTAATTTATCGCCGGTTGTCGGTTGTCGGGTGCCTTTTTACATGCTGTCGAGTAATCGACCAGTAATTGTTCGGTTTTTAATATTATAATTGCGATCCGATGAATTCCTGGGGGGCGCTTTATTTCTCCCTGGGACCTGCAGTGGTTTGTAGTTAGTTTTAATATTCTTTTCATTCATTAAGTTTTTTATTTTTGTAAACAACCGAGCAATTATCCTTGTTCTAATTGTAAATTAGATTTTTATCTGAGAAAACTCCTGTCCAGATTTACGTGAGATCACTTGATTGCCGACGAGCTCTTTAAAGCAATTTTTAATTGACACTGCACCGGCAGCTGCGCTCATTTTAGTGCTCAAGCACTTTACGATCTCAGTTTTTAAAAATCTAATTAAACTATAAAAGCACTCTGTTGACTGAAATTTAAGACTACAAGTATCGTAGGTCACGTACTAACTGATTTCTAAGATTTTAATATTATCATTTTTAATTTTTTATTTTATTTAGATTCTTACAAAAAATTTTTAATAATCATTTAATTTCACGGTCATTAAAATTTTTTTTTTAATGATAATTTAGAACATAAATTTTGTGACTGTTATTTATTTTGTTGCATTAAACATCATATTTGTTTTTAAGCAAGGGAAAGTTATTTATACAGTAAATATAAAAATTTTTAAAAATATAAATGTATATCTTTGTGCGTAAAATACAATAGTAAGAATATAATAGCGAGGATGTGGGAATAACAAGAAAGAGTCTATATTAATTAGCAGATTAGAGATTCAAAACCCAGGCTCTTAAGTTTAGTGATTTTGATTGTAAATAAGGTTTTTATTTTTCGTAAAATTTTACGATTAAAAATAAATAATTTAGAAAAGTAAATTCTAAAAGGTTAATTTTATATTTATTAGTGATTTTTTCTATTGAAAATTTTTTCTAAACTTTGCAAAAAAAATTCTGACTTTTATGAGTTAAAATATTTTAAATGTTCAAATTAAAAAATTTTAATGTAAAAATAACAATTTTTAAAAAAAAATTTTTATCAATTTATCGTGACAAAAATTAATTTTTCCCAAAAATACAATTTTTAAGCTTATTCCCTTGAATTTTTTTATAAATATAAATTTTCATAACTAATAAACTATCAAAAATATCTCATTTAAATTCAAAACTGCCCCATAAAAAAACTCAAACGACTCCCCCAATTTAAAAGATCAAAAAGAACCAAAATAAAACTCTAAACTTTCATTTGAACATCCCAAGTACTTGGAAACCCTTTTGTTAACTTGATCGATACCCGTTTCATCTTTCCCTTCACGTATTCAATCACCGGATCCCCGGAAATTCTTATGCCAAAAAAATAAAACCCGAAACACTCGAAAAGGCAACAGCGCCGACTCTTACATACAAATTCATCCACACTTACGTTCAGTAGAGTAGAGTAGAGTAGAGTAGAGTAGAGTAGAGTAGAGTAGAGTACTCTACCCTGATTCCCGATTTAAACATTATTATATTATATATATTATGTAACAACCTTTTTTATCGATCACTTTTGCTCGACCGGCGGCAAGCCGAACATAATTTCACGCATGACCTCCCAAAATCAAACCAGTTATGCCCCGCACTCCCACCCACACTCAGACCGCGGATATTTTGTTCTTGTTTTTTATTGTTTCGGCTCACTTTTGTTTCAGTTTAGTTACTTAACATTTATTATTTAAACCCGAGCACTTATTTTTGTGGACAATGCGCATGCGCCACACCACCAGCGATGTCGTACTGGCAACCATTCAGTTAAACCCCAAGCTCTGCGAGGGTGAGTCGCGCTTCTACCCTTACTGGCGACGCCGCGTTTTGACTCGTGCTAACGTTTATCGCACGTTTTATTTGTGAGAATTTTAAATTAAAAATAAAATTTAATTATCCACTACAATAATAATAAATAATAAATAATAATCATAATAACACTAGTAATAAAAAAAATAATAATAAATAAAATTAATCTCGTGAGAAATAAATCGTGGTAATTGTAACAGTGACTTGATTCCTGTGGTGTTAAATGTTTGCTGAGTCTTACAATTGCAGCACTCGGCTTGACATTTAAATATTTAGCCACGTGTTTTATTAATTATTAGTGTCTCTTTATTATTAATTATTAATCACGATCAATATTAAAATTCCTATTATTCGTACTAATATTGCTATTATTGCTGCTGCTGTTACTGGTTGTAAAATAATAATAATGATAAATTAGTGACAGATGTAGTGGAAAAAAGTTCTAGTGATTGTAAGAGAAAGAGATAGTGTTTAATTACCGGCGAAGATAAATACCAATGATGATAATCTAGTATATCAAGGATTCTATTTTAAATAATTCCGAATAAAGGTGAGTAGAATAATTGATTAAATTTGCTTGATTTTATTCCACCGGTTATTACAGTCGGGGTAAATATAATCAGAGTAGGAATTTTATCAATGGTGCAATGACCCGCGATCGATGTACCGATTCTTGTGTTTTTCTTCGCTGTTATTGTCGGTTTGCTTTATTGGACAGGATGGCTGTCTGTGGGCTTGTGTGTTTTGATAATTGAAGGCTGGAAAAAATAGTTTTGAAGGAGGGGTGGATTTTTTTTTTTTTTAAAGAATGTGAGGATTTTTGAGATGGGAAAAAATAACGGCAAGTTGAAAATAAGTTAATTAAGTTTAACATGAAATGTCTTTTTAGGAAAGGTATTTTTAACGTTAAAACAAAGTGTAGGATTTAATTTAATTATTCATATGCTTCCATTTTTATATATGAACGATTGAAAGTATGTCGGAATTTATAGATTGCAATTTTATATTATTAATAGAAGTATATTTTATTTAAAGTTTATTCTTTTTTGTTGGATTTTAATTTTGTTAGATTTATTCGTTGATTTAAATTGGAATTTTTTTTTATTTTTAATTTATGAATAATCTATACTAAAATATAACAATCTAGTAAATTATTAATTAATGAGAGACCACGTGACTAAAATATTTGTCATTTATACTTTCAAGATTAAGAATTAAAAACAATGAAATTTATCTTTAAGAAAAATTTTATTGATTGTTTTAAAAGAAAAGACTCGAAGCGTTAAGACAGTCTGTTTTTTGCAAAAAAAATTATTTTTTTGTCATTTTGTTTTTTTTTTCTTGTCTTTTAAATTTTTTAATAAATGATTTTTCACAATGTGTGTTTTTAGTGAGCTTTTATAACCGTACACACTCCCACACTCATGACATGTGAACGACATTTTTTGATGTACCCTATCAAGATGTTTTTCAAGCTGATACTCCAGGTGAAATTTATCATAACAACCACTTATCGGGCACGCATGATTTTTTTTACCATGAATAACTATATGCCGCTTAAACTGAGAATTCCACTTGAAAATTTTTCCACAAGTTGGACATCTAAACTCTGAAAGCCAGTAAAAAAAAAAATATTAATATTTAATTACTACGAAAATGAATTTAAACTTACATAAATACACTGTAAAAAAAGACCGTGGTAAGTCCAAGCGGTGTTAAAAATTTTCCGGGCTTAAAATAATTTTGAAAATTTGATACTTTCACTACTTTTCCTTCAAATAACTTTTGAACGCGTCGAGTTATTCGATTTCTGTAAAATGCATCTGAAAGCTGAGAAATTAAGCTTCGATTTATGTGCTCACATTTTTTTCTAAAGCATAAAAATATCCATCTTAGGATCATTTTTAAGTAATTTTACTCATCTTGCAGTCGTTTTGTCTATACAGAACTGACTGAAAACTACTGAAGTACAATTCTTTTTTTTTTTATTGAACTTTATTTATTTCTTTTTTTATAATCCTTAGTTGTTTTTAATTTTTTTTATCATGAAATCTATTCCTATTTCAGTTGCCGAATGGCCTTTTTTTATTTTAACATTGCGCGGTGTTAAAATAAGTCCATTTTTAACACCGCTCATTTGACAGTGTAATTTTTTAATTACAATTAAATAAAATATAAATTAATTATTACCTTTTTTATGGGTAGCCAAATGTTGACGAAGATCCGTATAGTTGTCGAATTCAACCCCACAGGCTTCAAATTTGCACTGATGTTTTAATCCATGAATTTTAGTATGTCTTTTGAAGTTACTTAAACGATTAAATGATTTCCTACAAAAGTCACATTTGAACGATTCACCATTGTGGTGGAGTGCCACGTGCTCCTTAAGTTTGTCTTCGCTTTTAAAGAATTGTGTATAATGTTCTTTCATATTTTCGTTATTTTCCAAACTAACTTTGCACGTAGTGCACTCGTAAGCCGTAGATTTACTGCGAAATTTATAATTTAATTTTAGTAGGTTTTTGCTTTCTAACACTTACAGTCATTTTGAGACAGCGCGTCAAATGACTTTACACGCGCGGCAACCGATTTGCAACTTTTTTTTTTTTCGTATTCGTCTATTCTGTAGTTATCGTTGCACGTACGGGATTTTGAAAACGATACGTGCAACGATACCACATGCATGCAGATTAAAACCCTGTTTTGTTTTTTTTTTTGAAGTTATACTTCTTTAGGCGCGTTATGAAAAATTGATGAGAGTAAAATTTTACGATGCGCGCGCACCGTGACACGAAATTAACAGAATGAAGTTGGCCACAGAATAGAATTAAAAGTATATATTTTTTTAAATGACTAAGTTAACTCATATACAGGTTAGTTGCAAAGTATCCAACGAAACGTTGTTATTTTCAAATTTGATAGAAATACCATTTAATATGAAATATATTATTCATATTAATAATATATTTCATATTAAATGGTCAATTTAATATTTTAGTTTTTATTTAACTTGATAATAATTTTCTTTTAATCAATATTTTTCCAAAAATAATAGTAATTTCATGAATTAAAATATTTAAACTAAAATATAAATATTGTAGTACCTATTATATTTAGGTATCTTTTTATTGAGTTCATAATTTTTAATACAGACTCAATCATTTTGCTTATCGAATATAGTAATTCTATCCATATTTTTTTAAATTCATATTATAGATCATTTTCATAATTTTTCGGAATTTTGTTGGAAACAAAATCTAGTTTCGTACTACAATATTTGTCTTTTAATTCATGTATACATTATTTTTGAATAAATATTAATTAAAAAGATATTATCACTAAGTTAAATAATAAATAATGAATTATTTTATAAAAAACATAATATATTTTAAATAAATAATTAATGATACTAAAGTTAGCCGACGTTTTTAATTTTTTGATTTTATATTTAATAAGTAAATTAGAACAAAAAAATACTTTTTAAAAATTGCACTTACAGTTTTTGAAGTTTTTTACAAGTGAAAGATTTTTTTTATTTTTTTTAATCATTTTTTCAAAAAAAAAAACAAAATTCTCAAAATTTTTATATGTCAGCTAACTTAATTTTCATAATTAATATATTTTATAATTATCGATTGTAAACTATTGATACTTTGAAGCTCCAAAATTAGTTTATTTAATATATTTTAAATAAATAATTAATGATACTAAAGTTAGCCGACGTTTTTAATTTTTTGATTTTATCTTTGATAATTAAATTAGAACAACAAAATACTTTTTAAAAATTGCACTTACAGTTTTTGAAGTTTTTTACAAGTGAAAGATTTTTCTTTATTTTTTTTAATCATTTTTTTACAAAAAAAAAAAAACAAAATTCTCAAAATTTTTATATGTCAGCTAACTTAATTTTCATAATTAATATATTTTATAATTATCGATTGTAAACTATTGATACTTTGAAGCTCCAAAATTAGTTTATTTAGAAAAATCTTTAATAATATTGAATTAAATTCATACGATAATTAATGATTTTATATTTATACGGTATAGCTAAATTTTTACTATAATAAAACCTATTTGATTGTTTTTAACATTTTTCTTTGATCATTTTTGTATTTTTTTTTCTTTAAAATTTTTTTTATTATATGCCAAAGAAGTATAACTTCTGACGCGTGTACATAAGTACACACACCATTTTTTTTTGTTTTTAAAAGGGAAACAGCGCTACTTCTGCTGAGAAAAAAATTTTCTCACCATTAGAAAATTTTTCTCTTGAATATTTGATACCCATTTTATATTATTTTAGCATGCAATTATAAGTATTAGATGAAAAAATATAATGAAATATTATTTGATATACCCATTTGACATAATGAAAATAATGAATATTTATTTGTATCTTTATATTTAAATAAAAATAATGAATATTTACTTTTATCAAGAACTAAATTTTTTCGAGCAAGGGTCTGAATTTTCTTAAAAAAGCGTAACGATATTTTCTTGACTCAAGTAAAGGTTATTTTTTCGAAAATTTTAATTAGTAAAAAAATTTAATTTTACCTATTATCATCATCAAGATTTTTGTAATGAGTTTTCTTATGTTTATTTAATTCAGATGCGTTAACGTAACTCTTTATACAACCATCAAACTCACATTCAAACGGTCGCTGAAAAATAAAAAAATTTTAGTTTTTTTTTTTTTTTACACACACCAATAGAAAGATTTATTACCATTAATAAATATTTATTAACTATTAACTATAATAATGTAATATAATTAATGCAAATAATTTGTACAGATCTCAAGCGAAATTAATTTACTTAACAAATATTTATTAACTTCTAATAGATATTCTATCAGTGTGTTAACTATTCGCGATGTAATCTAAATTCTGAATTATTTCTCAGTTGTAAATAATAAACTTACTTCGCCGGTATGCCGGCGATAATGCGAATCAAACTTTGCTTTCATCTTGAATGTCCTACTACAGCCTGCCCAATAACATCTATGCCGATTTTCACGATCGATGTGAGTGATGACATTATTTGAGGGACGACTAATTAGAAAATGACTTTCTAATTTATCGCCCATTTTTAAATTGTTATATATTTATTTTTAATCTCGAATCTGTACGGGAATGGTCAGCTATAAATAAATAACACAAAAACAATTTTTAAAATGTAAACAATCAAATATTTTTTTTTGTTTTAGTATAGATAAAATCATAAATTACTATTTATATACAAAGCTTATTTTTATTTTATCCTCAAGGTCTCACAATAATAGATATTATTTCGCATAATTTATTGAGTTTCATGATCCGTAGGTAAACAGAGATAAATATCTGATAATTGTATTGTTAAACTAAATCAAAACTAAGTATAAACTAACTAATAAACTAAATCTAAATTCTTTCATTTGATTTTTGAGAGTTTTGCGTTTTAAGATTTTTTAATTCAACTCACATTTTCTGCAAGCATCTTCTTTCAAGGTCTATGTTTTAAGTTGTTTAATTAAAACGATATAATCTTTCACAATATCTAGGTACAATAACTTATTTTTATTTTATTCCTATTATTAATATTATTATTATTATTATTATTATTATTATTATTATTATTGTTATTATTAACCATAAAATATTGTTTTTATTTTTATTAATAACGTATAATTACTATTAAACGTCATTTATTTATAATATAATATTATTTTACTTACATGTAATAAATAATAAATCCAAAATGTTTTTCACAGCACCAAACTCACTTCAACTTACTGCACTACTGATATCAATGAATGTTACCGCTTGTCTAATTAAGCTTGCGGTAAAACCCTTTGAGGCCTCATGTTCGATTACGAGGGCCTCTCAAGCCACTGGCCAAAATTAATACTCCCTTTTGCTCGCTATCGATAGTACAGAGTATCACTATCACTCATGCGAGTAAGGGCTATGATATCACATACACACTGTAAAAAATTTGCGGAGTGAACGCGGAGTGAATGATTTTTAATTGATTCACTCCCAGCGGGAGTGGTATTTACTCCGAGAAGGAGTTAATTTTTATTAATAATAAAATTCACTCCCAAAATAAATGAATTTAGAAATAAATAAATTTTTGTGAAAAAAACATTTTTATAAACTTTTTTTATATTTAATTATTAAAAATTTAATTTATTATTTGTGATAATATTTCATTTTAATCATTATTATAATGTTTTTATTTATTTTTTTTTATAAATTAATTATAATTAAAAATTTTCAAAAAAAAAAATATATACATACATACTAGCGGACCCGACAGACGTTGTCATGTACACACGGCTTAAATTAAGAAATTTTAGGAATGAGCTTGTATAGTTATAAACATCATTAGTTAACAATATGCAATGGGCATTCTTCAATAATTAACATTTTCGTAAATATAAGCACATCTTGATTTTATACTCATCAAGAGCTTTCATTTGAGTACCCACATGCATTTTTGATATATTTTATATATTTATATATTTCACAAATAACATATATATAAAATATATAAAAAATGTCGTTTGGGTACTCAAATGAAAGAACTCAATGAGTGTAACATCGGGATGGGCTTCTATTTTTCAAAACTTCAATAATTAAGAATTGACATTGTATCTTGTCAACTAATGATATTTTTAAAGATATAAGCTCATCCCGATGTTACACTCGTCGAGACCTTTCATTTGAGTACCCACATCGATTTTTCATATATTTTATATATTTATATATATTATATATATGTATATATGAAAAATATATCAAAAATGCATGTGGGTACTCAAATGAAAGCTCTTGATGAGTGTAACATCGGGATGAGCTTATATCTTTCAAAATGTCAATAGTTCACGAGATACAAGTTCATTTCTTAATTAATTATCTAGAGATAGATTTTCGAATGCAACCTAAATACTTATCATCATAAATTGACTATTAGGTGAGAATGATATGAAACCATGAAAAAGCACAACTCCAGATCAAGACTTTTCCAACGATATCAAATTTAACCATAAAAACCCTTTTTATCATATAAATACACGGGCCACAAAATTTTGCTTATTCTCTTAATAATATAGATTTTTCAAACTTGATATTCCAAGTGAATTTCAGAGAAAACAATATTTAGTATCACTCGTATCTAGATGGAAAGCTACTCAATTTAGATTTTTTTTATTATATGCTGGGGGAATTGTAATGAAACAATTGTTACCAAGTATCTATTACAAACATTTTCATTTATTAGCAGTGTTGCCAGATTGGGCTATTTACCGCCAATTGGGCTATTTGAAATTTCAATTGGCGGTTAAATTTTACTGTTGGCGGTTTATAGCCATTTGGGCTATTTTGAATTTTTAGGGATGATTTTTTTTTTTTTCAATAAAGCGTTTTATGAGTCATACGAAAAAAAAGACAGTATCTCCAAAAGTAATTGGAGAAATTAAAGAACGGGCTACTTTATTTATTGTGAAGTTGTGTGATGAATTGGTGAAACGGTTACCAAATAACTTAACAGTGATTGAACGAATTCGGTACTTTTCACCAAGATATTGCTTGTCTCAAACTCAATAGTATTTAATTCTTCTCTTCTCGGGTGCTGCGGCTCTATCCGGAAAGTAGGTGTGGGCATACTAAAACATTTGACACAGAACACCCACGCCGTCTGTCTATATATATGTACATAGAAATATATTAATATAAAATGTTACGATGAAAAATGGGTAACGTCGTTATTCATTAAGAATTAACACGACATTACGAACAGAAGAAACAACCCCTGACAATTCAACTGACGTATTTTAATTCATTTTTAATTTATGCCTCAGATATTTTTATTGTAAAAAATTTTTGGGGTGCGTGATTTTTAATTGATATAATTCTAAAAAATATCGGTATGATATATTTCTTATGAATTTTTATATTTGGATTTTTAAAATATTTTTTGTTTTTAAATTTTAACTAATTAAAATTACTTTTAATTAAAAAAACTCCATACTTATTATTATTATTATTATTATTATTATTATTATTATTATTATTATTATTAAACTCCATGTTCACTCCAAAATTATTTTCGATTTTTTACACTGTAATTTTAATGATTAATAATAATAATAATAATAATAATAATAATAATAATAATAATACATATGAATATATTGTAGAAGCTTTAACGAGTTGGAGCTTTAACGAAAATCCTTAACATTTTTACGACCTTCATTAACATTCTAACGCTCGGTAATTGTCGCGTCTGAGTCTACTAATTTTCGAGGTTAAAATTATGTCAGTCGTCCAGTGGTGCAGCGTACAGAGGAATAGCAAGGCTGGAGCTGGAGCAATACAGTGAACGGTATACCAGTCATAGAGTATACGGGCGCAGTAAAGTTGTGTAGCGTGGTAATAATAATATCCTGGGTCTGGGTGCTCCGTTATGTGCTCGGCTCGGGTCGGTCTTCGGTGTATATCCCGGGACTCTGCCAAAATCGTGCCGTGCATTTTGAACGCTAATTATTTTAAGCCCCTGTGTCGTTGCAAGGTATCACGAATTAATTTCAACCGTCCATCGAGCTCATGCTGGCTCACATTATCAACCGGCACATCTTTCACTCTCTCTCTCTGCGCCCTTCCTGAGCTCTAAGCTCTAAGCTCTGCTCGTTTCGCTGTTTCTTGAATATATATTTGTGTCTCCCTTTCATCCGAGGGCGTATCACGTCCGGATTAACTTATCTATCTCCATCTGCTGGTTCTTTTTGCTCTTCAACCATTTTCTCGTACAATTACTATAATTATTACATATTTTTCATTTTTTTTATTTAATTAAAAATTTTAATTCATAAAAAAAAGTTTTTTTTTTCTAAAGTTAATTAATTATTTTAATTTTTTAATTTTTAATTTTTATGTAAAATTTTTGATATTTTAATAATAAAAATTAAAGGGGAAAAATTTTTTAAAAATTATTTTTGAATTTTTTTTTACGATAAATTGATAAAATATTATTAAAGTTGCAAAAGAAAAAAAAAGGTGACTAAAATTAAAAAAAAAATTCTAGTGACAATTTTTTGTTATTTAAAAATAAATTATCAAGATCAAAGAGTAAAAATAAAAAATAAAAAAATGTAGTTGGATTGATGAAAGATAATTCGAGAATGAAACTTTAGATACAGCGGCATAAATTGAAATGTAAACGAAGGTATTATTTGAATATAAAACACTTTAGCGTGTTGGTGTGTTGAGTTTGTATGAATTCTTAGTTATAACTACTATACAGCAAAGCGTCTACCTCCACAGCCGGCACGACTACTGACTAGCGGTACAGCAGCGAAGCCAGCGCTGATACTGTTATTACCTCTGGCTCCAGAATTACCAGCCTTTAGGAGCCTCTGTGAGTGGAATCTTTGTTAGAGATATTCAAAGGACCAGGAACTGTCAAGTACGGGAGTCGTTATCTTTTTCATTCGCACTTATGACAAAAATGAGCCGGGTAAGATCCGCGACCTCTTTAAAAGTCAACTTAATCTTGGTAATCTAGCCGTATCCCATCGCGCCGGGGATGTGAGTGTGGGTGGAAATGAGGGCTCTGGCTTGTTGCGGAAATTTTGTCGCATTCAATACAACCGCAGGTACATCAGATACAAACACACGCACACATTCAATGTGAGGCGGTTTTGTAAATTTTACGTTTTGTCATTTTATTTACATTCAAGTTCACTTGAATGTAATATAACTAACTTCAACGCTGTGGTTTTTTTTATTTTTAAACGTTATTGTTATTGTTTTGAGTTGGTAATTTTAACATGAATTTATATTTATTTGAAATAATAAATATTCAATAAAATTAAAATATCCCAGGCCTGGGATATAAGAATATACCAAGCCTGGGCCAAGCGTCACCAGCCTTGGGTAAGGCTTGGCACGAGCCCTGGCTAAACATTGGGCCAAGGCTCGGTTCAAGCCTAGGATGATAACTATGTCCCCAAGCCTTGGGAAACCAAAACACAAGGCTTGGGCCGAGTCTTGGGAAACAAATGGCCCAGGGCTCGGACCAAGCCTTGGGGAACTAATTTGCCAGGACTAAAAAAAATGCAAACATTATTAAAAAATTAAATTTGATTTTAATTGTATTCGTGATTTTACGGTTTATTATCTGCTTTACGTTATCGTATCTCTCGATTACACCAGATTACCTTGAAAAAATCTTTGCTCACGATGGGAATCGAACCTGGGTCACCCGCGTGAAAGTCTCGAACTGTACTGACTTCGCTGCACTTCGTAGTAACATTAACAGATTAGTTTTAGTTACTTAAACATCACTCAGTCATTTTGCTTTATTACATGATATTCCATAATTAAAATTGAACTTATAACTGCTAAAAATTTTGTTTAGTTCAGATAGTATAATTTGTTGACATAATACCGTTATGAAATATATTTTTTTTTAATTTATTTGATTTTAACGAAATAATTAAATTTTCTATTACCAAAAATAAATACATGATCATAATTTTGAGCAGTTTCGAGAGTTTTATACATTTTTCAGCAACAAAGAAATGATAGTTAAAAATAATTTGTCAACGATTAATAACTATATTTATTAAAATTTTTTTGTTGACAAGTCATTTATTAAATTCTATTAAATTCTTCTATCAGTGTTCGAAGCATTGGGCCAAGTATCGAACCGGGTTTAAGTCCGTGGTGATTTTTCAAGGCTTGGTTGAAATGTATCGAGACATTGGGCCAAGCATCGGACCAGGCTTCGGCCAGTCGTGATCTCCCAAGGCTTGGTTCCAAAATATTGAACCATTGGGCCAAGCCTCGGGCCAGGCTTAGGCCAGTGGTGCACCCCAAGGCTCGGCTTGAGAATGTCGAACTATTGGGCCAAGCCTCGGGCCAGGCCTGGGCCACTGGTAACTTACCAAGGCTTGGCAAAGCAACAAATAGTCCAAGGCTGGGCCATTTGTCAGCATTGGTTAACCCTACCTGGGTAATAAGTAATTATTTTAATTATTAAAATTTTAATTATTTAAACAATAAGTAATTATAAGAGATCCTAGAGAGAGTAGGAATCATCTGTCCAACGGCAAACTTAAGAGCAAATCGATTAATAGAGACAATTAAAACTACCAAAAGTTATATATATATAATAGCCCGAGGAATAGGATAGCTAATCTAATCAATGATAATTGCTCGCACCTTGAATTATTTGACATTTCGATCTCATCGTTTGTATCATCGGTTAAAAGACTGCTTCTAACCAATAATCATCAGCCTCTCAAAAAGTGCAATTTCATTTCATCTTGAAATAACTACTCTTAGAGATATTTTTTTTTTACATTTTTTATAATATTAATAATTGAAACTTATAAAGTAAATGAAATTGATTTAATACAATTTAATTTTAAATTTAATTCTATTAATATGTTAATACTCTTTTTACATATTTTTATTTTTATTTTTCTTTTTTCACCCATAACCAAATGTAATTGATGTAAATCTAATGTATAAAGCCGATTGGCGTATGAATGAATAAATAAATAAATAAATATTAATAAATTTTTATTTAAACTACTCTTAATTTGTAAATAAATAATAGCAAACTATTGGTTATATAGTATATATAATACATATTTGAACTATTGGTTAGTCATTATTATTAACATTAAAAAATTAATTATGAAACTTTAGCTATATAATCATAAATGAATTTGTTCTTTGACAAATCATATATGCGATTACTATTGTAAATATACTTTATGTTGCTTTTTGGTTAACGAAGTTGACTTAATTAAAACAGTTGAAAATTTAATATTTAAGTATTAATAAATCAAAGTGATTTTTTTTGAAAAAAAATTATTTTTTTTGTCATTTTGTTTGTTATCTTGATTTTTTAATTTTTCAATAAATGTATCCTCAGAATGTGAGCTTTTAGTGATTTTTTATTAGAGTACTGTATCCCACAATTATGACATGTGAGCCGTTCTTTCAGGTGTATCTTTTTAATATGGTCCATAAGCTGATATTCTTGGTGATATATTTTACTACAATCTCTTCTTGGGCACTTATGCATTTTTTTACCATGAGTAGTTATGTGCCTCTTAAGGTGAGAATTCGACTTATAAATTTTTCCACAGGTTGGACATCTAAACTCTGAAAGCCAGTAAAAAAAAATATTAATATTTAATTACAACGAAAATAAGTTTAAACTTACATAAATACACTGTAAAAAAAAAGACCGTGGTAAGTCCAAGCGGTGTTAAAAATTTTCCGGGCTTAAAATATTTTTCTATAGTGAAGATATTTTACTTTGTGAATATTTTTATTCACTAAATTACTACTATTGGACAGTAAAATGCAAAAAATCATTAACAATCGTGTTTAATAGATTTTTCTCATATTTAAATCTGCAATTTTCTCGATTTTTTTTATTTTTTGAGATTTTTTTTAATTTTAAAACGTCAATGGGACAAGAAAACTTCAGATTCAAATTCAGTGGAATAAAGTCCATAAAAATCATACTCAATCTAAATCCAAAAAATTTTTTTCATCGCTATGACCAGTTTTTCGCAATTTTTTGGAGTTTTTTTTGCATTTTACTCAGAATTTTGAGGGTGTACGAGCAAAACTGAACAGATTCGGATTCAGCGCGTCAAAATACACAAAGATAGATAGGTCCGTTTCAAAGTACAGACCAAATAATTACTACTTTAATATAAATATTTTCTATTTATGTCCTTAATTTAAAAACTGTTTCTTTTTATTTTATAGATTTTTTACTCTTGATATTTTAAAATTTACCCCGCTTTTAAACTGGTATTATTCCATTTTTACACCGGTTTTTTAACACCGGAAAAGTACATCGTCACACCGGTGTTATTAGTAGATTTCATAAAAATCTAACTATTGTATTTGTCCTCATGTCGTAATTTTCCGTTAATTTTACTATATTTCGACCTTACCTGAAAATCTGAGTCAGAAAATACATATGGTTCAAAAGTTTATATATGTATATACGATATAACGCGGCTTGTCACGACGATAGCGTCAACAATTCTCAAGGGAACTCAATGAAACTTAACATACTTATTCTATCGACTATTAGGAAGGTCAAGTTCAAATATGAGCTTAATCGGTCATATAGTTTAGAAATTACAGCATTTAAAAATTTTTAAATTTTGAAAATTTGATACTTTCACTAGTTTTTCTTCAAATAACTTTTGAACGCGTCGAGTTATTCGATTTCTGTAAAATGCATCTGAAAGCTGAGAAATTAAGCTTCGATTTATGTGCTTACATTTTTTTCTAAAGCATAAAAATATCCATCTTAGGATCATTTTTAAGTAATTTTACTCTTGCAGTCGTTTTGTCTATACAGAACTGACTGAAAACTACTGAAGTACAATTCTTTTTTTTTTTTTATTGAACTTTATTTATTTCTTTTTTTATAATCTTAGTTGTTTTTAATTCTTTTCATGATGAAATCTATTCCCATTTCGGTTGCCGAATGACCTTTTTTTATTTTAACATTGCGCGGTGTTAAAATAAGTCCATTTTTAACACCGCTCTTTTTACAGTGTAATTTTTTAATTAATAAAATATAAATTAATTATTACCTTTTTGATGGGTGGCCAAATGTTGACGAAGATCCATATAGTTGTCGAATTCAACCCCACAGGCTTCACATTTGCACTGATGTTTTAATCCATGAATTTTAGTATGTCTTTTGAAGTTATTCAAACGTTTAAATGATTTCCTACAAAAGTCATATTTGAACGATTCACCATTGTGGTGGAGTGCCACGTGCTCCTTAAGTTTGTCTTCGCTTCTAAAGAATCGTGTATGATGTTCTTTCATATTTTCTTTATTTTCCAAACTAACTTTGCACGTAGTGTACTCGTAAACCGTCGAAATTTATAATTTAATTTTAGTAAGTTTTTGCTTTTTAACACTTACAGTCATTTTGAGACAGCGCGTCAAATGACTTTACACGCGCGGCAACCGATTTGCAACTTTTTTTTTTCGTATTCGTCTATTCAGTAGTTATCGTTGCACGTACGGGATTTTGAAAATTTTGATTTTTAAGATTTTTTAGGGCTGTTTGCATCCGAAAAAATGAAAAAAAAAAATCGAAAAAACTTTTAATACGTCGTTGCCATTTTTTTTGAAATCTAAATTTCCAAAATCCCCTACGTGCAACGATAACCACATGCATGCAGATTAAAACCCTGTATTGTTTTTTTTTTGTTTTAAAAAGGGAAGCAGCGCTACTTCTGCTGAGAAAAAAATTTTCTCACCATGAGAAAATTTTTCTCTTGAATATTTGATACCCATTTTATATTATTTTAGCATGCAATTATAAAAGTATTAAATGAAAAAATATAATGAAATATTATTTGATATGCCCATTTGACATAATGAAAATAATGAATATTTATTTGTATCTTTATATTTAAATAAAAATAATGAATATTTATTTCTATCAAGAACTAAATTTTTTCGAGCAAGGGTCTGAATTTTCTTAAAAAAGCGTAACGATATTTTCTTGACTCAAGTAAAGGTTATTTTTTCGAAAATTTTAATTAAAAAAAAATTTAATTTTACCTATTATCATCATCAGGATTTTTGTAATGAGTTTTCTTATGTCTATTTAATTCAGATACGTTAACGTAACTCTTTATACAACCATCAAACTCACATTCAAACGGTCGCTGAAAAATAAAAAAATTTTAGTTTTTTTTTTTTTACACACACCGATAGAAAGATTTATTACCATTAATAAATATTTATTAACTATTAACTATAATAATGTAATATAATTAATGCAAATAATTTGTACAAATCTCAAGCGAAATTAATTTACTTAACAAATATTTATTTGGAAATAATATACTTACTTCGCCGGTATGACGGCGATAATGCGAATCAAAATCTGTTCTCTTCTTGAATGTCCTACTACAGCCTGCCCAATAACATCTATGCCGATTTTCACGATCGATGTCTAAATTGTCTGAGTGACGACTAGTTGGAAAATGACTTTCTAATTTATCGCCCATTTTTAAGTTGTTATATATTTATTTTTAATCACGAATCTATACGGGAATGGTCAGTTATAAATAAGTAACATAAAAACAATTTTTAAAATGTAAACAATCAAATCTTTGTTTTTGTTTTAGTATAGATAAAATCTTAAATTACTATTTATATACAAAGCTTATTCTTATTTTATCCTCAAGGTCTCATAATAATAGATATTATTTTGCACAATTTATTAAGTTTCATGATCCGTAGGTAAACAGAGATAAATATCTGATAATTGTATTGTTAAACTAAATCTAAATTCTTTCATTGAATTTTTAAGAGTTTTGAGTTTTAAGATTTTTTAATTCAACTCACATTTTCTGCAAGCATCTTATTTCAAGGTCTATATTGTAAGTTGTATAATTAAAACGATATAATCTTTCACAATATCTAGGTAAAATAACTTATTTTTATTTTATTCCTATTATTAATATTATTATTATTATTATTATTATTGTTATTATTAACCATAAAATATTGTTTTTATTTTTATTAATGACGTATAATTACTATTATACGTCATTTATTTATAATATAATTATATTTATTTATAATATAATATTATTTTACTTACATGTAATAAATAATAAATCCAAAATGTTTTTCACAGCACCAAACTCACTTTAACTTACTGCACTACTGATATCAATGAATGTTACCGATTGTCTAATTAACCTTGCGGTAAAACCCTCTGAGGCCTCATGTTCGATTACGAGGGCCTCTCAAGCCACTGGCCAAAATTAACAGTCCCTTTTGCTCGCAATCGATAGTACAGAGTATCACTATCACTCATGCGAGTAAGGGCTATGATATCACATATACACTGTAAAAAATTTGCGGAGTGAACGCGGAGTGAATGAGGAGTGAATGATTTTTAATTGATTCACTCCCAGCGGGAGTGATATTTACTCCGAGAAGGAGTTAATTTTTATTAATAATAAAATTCACTCCGCATTCACTCCCAAAATAAATGAATTTAGAAATAAATAAATTTTTGTGAAAAAAAATATTTTTATAAACCTTTTTTATATTTAATTATTAAAAATTTAATTTATTATTTGTGATAATATTTCATTTTAATCATTATTATAATGTTTTTATTTATATTTTTTTTATAAATTAATTATAATTAAAAATTTTCAAAAAAAATATATATATATATACATACTAGCGGACCCGACAGACGTTGTCATGTACACACGGCTTAAATTAAGAAATTTTAGGAATGAGCTTGTATAGTTAAAAACATCATTAGTTAACAATATGCAATGGGCATTCTTCAATAATTAACATTTTCGTAAATATAAGCCCATTTTGATTTTATACTCATCAAGAGCTTTCATTTGAGTACCCACATGCATTTTTGATATATTTTATATATTTATATATTTATATATTTCACAAATAACATATATATAAAATATATAAAAAATGTCATGTAGGTACTCAAATGAAAGAACTCAATGAGTGTAACATCGGGATGAGCTTATATTTTTCAAAACTTCAATAATTAAGAAATGACATTGTATCTTGTCAACTAATGATATTTTTAAAGATATAAGCTCATCCCGATGTTACACTTGTCGAGACCTTTCATTTGAGTACCCACATCGATTTTTCATATATTTTATATTATATGATATTTATAAAATATATGACAAATGAAAGCTCTTGATAAGTGTAACATCGGGATGAGCTTATATCTTTCAAAATGTCAATCGTTCACGAGATACAAGGTCATTTCTTAATTAATTATCTAGAGATAGATTTTCGAATGCAACCTAAATACTTATCATCATAAATTGACTATTAGGTGAGAATGATGTGAAACCATGAAAAAGCACAACTCCAGATCAAGACTTTTCCAACGATATCAAATTTAACCATAAAAACCCTTTTTATCATATAAATACACGGGCCACAAAATTTTGCTTATTCTCTTAATAATATAGATTTTTCAAACTTGATATTCCAAGTGAATTTCAGAGAAAACAATATTTAGTATCACTCGTATTTAGATGGAAAGCTACTCAATTTAGATTTTTTTTATTATATGCTGGGGGAATTGTAATGAAAAAATTGTTACCAAGTAACTATTACAAACATTTTCATTTATTAGCAGTGTTGCCAGATTGGGCTATTTGAAATTTCAATTGGCGGTTAAATTTTACTGTTAGCGGTTTTTAGCCATTTGGACTATTTTGAATTTTTAAGGATGATTTTTTTTTTTTTTTCAATAAAGCCTTTTCTTTGCATCAAAAATTTATACTTTGAAAAATTATCTATTGACTTAATTCTCTATTTATGATAGTTGACGGTTATTATCAAATTTATTTCATATTTCATGTTTGGCGCGCTAAGATGCGCATGCGTAAGTATTACACCAGCATGTCATATATTTACATTCTCTTCGTGCTTTGACCTATCTAGTGGTAACATCGTACACAGTTTAAGTAAGTCTCAATAGACCACGTGTAATTTTATCTCATTTGAAATTTAAACAGTTGTAAAAGTAAAGTAGAATCATAAAGTGAAATCAACTAAGGCAAATTGAATTAGCAAGATTTATCAACTTTATCAGGTACATTTTAAATATTAATATTTGTGAATTTAGCAATATTGAAAATTCGTTATATGAAAGAAAATATTAAATTTCAACCATTGTGTAATAGTTGTAACAATTGTAATAATTTTGTCACTTAACTAACTTTTAATTTAAATAATATATGTATTAAATTCAACTAATGATTAATTTATTCAAAGAAACCTGTTGTCAATAAAATTAAAAACTCAGAGTTCCCGGTCTATTAGCTTAACATGCTAGGACTAAATACTAAATAATTAAACAATTTGAATCAATCAATTATTCATAAATTAAATGATTTTTACATAACACTATTTTTTCTGAGTCTATTTTTTCCGGGATTCTTATCTATTAGCCTTACGGCTAGGGTAAAAATAATTAGATTTTAAATACGTTTCGACGTCACAATATTTATTTATTAATTATTATTATAATTATAGTAAAGAAGATATAAAATGGATTCTGAATTAAATCCAACAACAACTGGCCACTCGCTGATGTATCAAGCCATCGAAGATGACAAATTGAAAGATCTTAAATTGTTATTAGAGAATGGAATGGATGTAAATGAACCGATAATAACAATTGGAGAATTTGCTGGATTCACAGCATTGCATGTTGCATGCATGAAAAAGAAAGATAAGATGGTGAAGTTATTAGTTAATAAATATAATGCAGATGTCAATGCAATGGCTGTTGACGGGACTCAATCCATTCATTTAGCTTATTTTTATGAACCACTAGACAAATCTAACAGATCTCCCAAACCAGAACGAGGCAGTAAAATAAAAATATTGGTGAAAGCTAATGCAAATGTTGATGCCGAATTTGGACAAGAAATTTTTTTTGCTGTATAAGAGGCTGAATTCAATTTTTTTTGTATTTCGTACAAGGTTTTCAGGCCAAACAGTTAATTAATTTATTATTTTTTTCGAAAATTAGAATTTTTTAAGTCGTATTACCGCGTTGCACTAAAAAACAAACAAATTTCGAACTCTAGCCCGGTGATTGACGGCTAGGTGCCTTAATTACGACTAAAAATGCCTTAATTATTAATTAAAGCCCAAAAATGTTGAAATAAACCGGAAAACCCGGGATAATCACCCTCGCAAAAGGGAATGCGAGTTAATAAATCAATCGAAAATTCCCCAATACTCGAGTATTTATTTTGGATGAATTACACGGCCTTAGCGTACGCACTGCTGCTGGGCTGAAATATCGATTGCGAGCGGCAGAGCCATCCTCGTCCCCTAAGGGAGAGCTAGGACGGGGGAATTTTCGTAAACGAACGAAATTTGGTCCCTCTCCTCGCATTTCCCCGGGGGGACGAAACAACAAGCATCACGACAGCGACATTAATCTCATCGGCGCGGTGATTATGCTCGGTTCCACACTCCCACATTCACTTCCCTCGCCACAGTCCTCACCCTGCTGTACTGTACTGTCCGCCTAGCAAAGTAGTGTCCAACGTCCTCCATTGCAACCCATTCTCCACTCTCTGCTGTCCACTCTCCATTGGAGCCCCAAGTACTCCGGCTGACTCTCGGTGTTCTGTTTCTGTCCTCTCCTTCTATTCTATTCTATTATAATGTATGAATGTATGCGTTAATACATACATATTTACTCCCCACACTAATATATGCCGTAGTATAGTATATTTACAACTACAGGGATGTTAATTTTAACTCACTAATACTATTACCGATGTACATTTCACTTTCACGGTTTTCGTCCTCTCACCTACGATTAGATATAACATAATATATGTTGTATTTTACGTTGCAGTTAACAGCAGTGTGCTCTTTATTTTCCGTTGTATATGTTTATGTACATACATACATATAAATTCAAGCTTTTCACCATCGAAATAATTTATAAAAAAATGTAAAAAATAAACATTTTTAATAGCTAATTTTTGTATAAATTTATAAATATTTATTTTTTTTAATTTATACACGGAAAGAACAAGATGACACTGGATACCATCTCAGATTATACTCAGTGACATCAGAGGCGAAAAAAATTTTCAGATGGTAGCTAGTATAATCCAGATTATACTGAATAATATCTGGATTATACTCATTGTAATCTGGATTATACTCATTGTTATCTAGATTATACTAGCTACTATCTGAAATTTTTTTTCGCTCAGTATAATCTGGGATTATATCCAGTATAATCTTGTTCTTTCCGTGTACATGTATTTTAAATTTAAATATGTATAAATTATCCTTAAAATAAATAAAAAAGTAACTATTAAAAATAGAATTTTTTATATTAGAAGATATATTTTTTTAATAAATTTTTTTTATGAAAATTACACTCTTGTTTTATATCTGCTTAAATTTTCTGCCAAGAAAAGCTCCCGAAAATAATGAGGATGTATTTAGG